TCTAGGGACAATCTTAGTCCTTCCACGTCTACATAGAGCAAGCAAGCTGTGTCGCTTTCTCCAAGACCCTTCCTTCAGGTCCCTTCTTGCTGGCGTTGTCACGAAATGCCATAGACAACAGTATGTCTACCAGTGTCCGCCAGCCTCCCCAAACTCAAGTCACAGTATGGGAGGCGGGAAATCTTTCTCCCCTCCAAATGGTTTCTTCTGTCGACAGAATTTTCTATTTGGCACCTTGTGACATAAGCAGCCATCTCCTCATGAAATTCCTGCCCTAGCTTACGAAATCATACCAGGTAATTTAGCCAGTTGAAGGGGTAGGGAGGGCTGGAATAACTTCTCAACACAAACAAAGACATAAATGGACTGGTTGGCCCATGGCAAATCTCTGTGGGCAACCAGGACTGACTGAATCAGCAGCAGGATGAGAAGTCACTCACTCCAAGGGCTAACTTGTCAATTACCCCAAGGGCTGACTTGTCAGTCACGCCAAGGGCTGACTTTAGAAATGGGTGCTTGGCTACTGCCACAAAATACCACAGACTGGACAGCATCAATGGAACAAGGCTAAGGTCTGGGAATGGGTTTTTCTCATGCTTCTCCACTTAGCGTGTGGTCAGCCATCTTGCCCGTGTGTCTTTACGTGCCATGACCTCTTCCATTAAGGACACCAGTCACATGTGTGGCTTCTCATTTTACCCACTTTCACCACCACTGGAAGGGTCCTATCCTAACACAGAGCAACGTTCTGAGGTATTTGGAGTTAGTACTTCCCCACTGAAAGCCACATTCTGAGGTATTTGGAGTTAGCACTTCCCCACAGAGAGACACATTCTGAGGTACTTGGAGTTAGTACTTACCCACAGAGAGACACATTCTGAGGTACTTGGAGTTAGTACTTCCTTGCACAGAGCCATGTTCTGAGGTACTTGCAGTCAGTACTTCCACAAGAGGAGGTGTGAGTGACACAACCCCCAACCTCTACAGACAACATTTAAGGGAGGCAAAGGAGTACAGCTGCGGCCATGAAGGAATTAGAGCATAGCTGCCATTTTCAGAGGGAAGGAAATGTGGCCTATGGTCCCAGATCTAGGTTTCAACCTCTTATGCTCTACCTGTTCTAAAGCCTTACTGATCCTCCCAGCCTGGCCATATCCCACTGTGGTCCTTGTTTGCTCTCATGCTTGAAACCTAGTCCTAGGTCACTGTCCCCATGGCTTGCCGAGTTCATATTCACTTCCTGTCAGTGAGCCTCCCTTCTGTCCCTCCCCCTGCCCATCCCCCATTCACAGGATTAACACTTCACTGCTCAGATCTCCATTCAAAGGCCTCTTCTTGGATGAAGCTTCTGAGGACCTCGAATATAAGCAAGTTTACTTTTATCCTGAACTCAAAGCCCTTCTCTCCCCTCTTGCTGCCTCTCTGGAATAGAAGTTACCATGTTTATAACACCCCTGCACTGCTGTAATGCTGTTAATCTCGCCTGTGAGATGGACCTCACACTCTGAAGTTCAGGAGCAGAATCTGTAAGTGGCCTCACCGTCATCAGCCAGCCTGCAGTTTACTGGAAGAATGCAATCTGGCCCAGAACAGCAACACCCAAAAACCCTCAACTCAGAAGCCTAGTTCGTGGCTAGCCTGAGCTACATAGCAAGATCATCTAATAAATAAGTAAAGAAGATGACAAACCCAAACGAACTATAGAAAGCAGAAATTATTCTCCTAGAGGGTTACAATCTTATAGAAATTACTTAAACATTTTATTTTCTGCATCATTTCTATGTGTATGTATATACATATATGTATATACATATACATATACATATATAGACACATTCATTAGATAATGTATATAATCTTATATAATCAATAGATATCTATTCTGTAGATATATAAATATATAAATAAAACATATAGATACATATTTATTAGATAATATATATAATCAAGCAAATATATAACAGCTGTAATTGGCCAGATATATAGTTTTTATCCACTGAAACAATATCTAGTCACCCCCTCCCTGGGGTTCATTCACCTGCTTGGCACTGGCCAAAATGCATGGGGAATTCTTTTTGCTTGAACTAAAGAAACAGCAGAGCTCATGGTGACTCCAGTCCAACAGGAAGGGACCCCTTTCCTCCTCATCCTAAGCAGGAAACACTAAAGTTCTGGGAATAAGATGTGGATCGCACATTGGAAATGTTTGAATCTGCTGGTAGCACTGAACCCACCTCGGCTAGAAACATGAGGAGGCCACATGGGTACAATCTAACACGGAGCAACACTGGTGAGCTGAAGCAAGTTCCACATGGTCTCACTCTCAGCTTTCCACATGTGGCCACAGGCTGGTTGAGGCGCTTAGCTGTGTCAGAGCATCTAAGCAAAGAGAATGAGCCCTGGTGAGTTACTGTAGTCACTCACCTCCGGGAAGTATCCAGAGGGGCACATTACAACCTCCACACGGTGTGCGATACAAATTTCTAACTTTGTCAAGCAGCAGGTTCTGGGAGCACATTTACCTTTCAGGTGCTCCCTCTCTATACATGAAGCCTGGGCTGCTGTGAATACTTAACCCGGAAAAAAATCATTTTTTAATAATGATGATGTCATTTACTCGGACTCAGACTGAACACTTCTGCCTGTCTGTTTTTCTCCACCCTCCACAAAGTCCCCAAGTCTTTTATACAAACTAATAAGGCTCAAGTTCAACTGATCCTCTTTGCAAAGCATCTGTAATATGTCAAAGAAAAGCAGGAAGCAAACTAGGAATCATAGAAACCAGAAAAATAATATCGACATGATCGAAATCTCCAAATAGCCAAGAAAAGTAAATGCCCATCTTGGAAGCTTGGCCAGCAGGCAAAGGAGCAGGGCCTTTTACTTTCCTTGTCAATACCTACATCAGAAAGAAGATTTAAAATCAAATGGGCTTGATTGAACCTCTCCTTAAATTCCTTTATCAGCAATCAGACATTCATAGCATTCCTCCCAACAGGTAAGGCAACAACTGGGAAACGAATTCATAGCCAGAAGCCACTCTCTCCAGGTCTAATTAACAAGAAAAAAAACTCTCCAAAGATGCAAATCTACCTTCCCTGTCCATTAGGGCAAGCAGACCTGGCTCTGGGTCTCAGAAATGATTAACCCCATCACTGGTTATGAGACTAAAATATTCATTAGCCCATATATACTAATCAAGGTACCAGTAAATGTGGTACGATACAAGAAGTCTAATGATATTTTCAGACAAGCCTTCCCAAAGCCAGGGTAATTCATGCCTATAATCCCATACTTGGTAAACCAAGGTGGGAGCACGAGTCTGAGGCTAGCCTGAGATCTATAGTGAATTCCAGGCTAGCCCAGGCTACAGGAAGAAAAGAAAGGAAGGAAGCCATCCAAGGCCAATTTTTAATATCTATACATTAATCATGCATCATATATATGAATCTAAAGAAACCCGGGAGCCTAATGATAAAGCTGCTTTCTAGTAATCCAAACAGTACCAGTGATTAAGACACTTTATGTATTTTACGTCTAGTGATGTAAGTATTTTTATCATTTATGTCATTTGCAATGACGAGCTGATAGCCACAGCTCAGACTATACAGTACCATCCTAGTGGGTAGCTATTTATTAAATGAAAGCAATCAGTTTTAGGTTCTAACTATAAATATTTGAGAAAAAAAAATCTCAGCCAGCTTTAAAATGTTCTTTAAAACGACTGAGAGCTGGAGAGCTAGCTGAGTAGTTAACAACATTGGCTGCTCTTGCAGAAGACTGGGCTTCAGCTCCCAGCACCCACATGATGCCTCACAGCAATTCCTAACTCCAGTTCTGGGAAATCTGATTCCTTCTTCTGACTTTTATCGGCATCGGGCACGTAGGTGGTGCAAATATACACATGTGCAGGCAAAACACTTAGACAAATAACAATTTTTAAAATCTAAAACAATAACAATTTTAAGAGACTATAAAGATCTATTCACTTAGCCAGGCAGTGGTGGCACACGCCACCACTTTAATCCCAGCATTTGGGAGGCAGAGGCTGGCGGATTTCTGAGTTTGAGGCCAGCCTGGTCTACAGAGTGAGTTCCAGGACAGCCAGGGCTATACAGAGAAGCCCTGTCTTGAAAAACAAACAGACAAAAAAATCCATTCACTTGCCAAATATATGGCCAATTATCAAAATTGCATCTTCCAACCAAAACAGAATGACTTCTGTTGTCCAGATATCAAAGACCATGTCTCATTTCATGAAAAACAACAAAAGCACATCATACCAGGAAACGACCAAGGGAAACATAATTCCTATTCATTAAGAATTTTCATTTACTAAATTGAATTGTAGTAAAGGTAGAAATATTTAACTTCACCTAAATTATTTCTGCCAAAACCAAGGAGAAAAAAAATCATTTTGATGGAGTATTTCATTTCACTCCCTACAGAGCCCAGCGTATAGCTAGATGTAATAGTGTACTCCTATGTGACATTCTGTTGCTACAGCAACGAAGCTGCTACCTGTGGCCATGATTTGTTAAAAAATCCTCCAACCATATTCTGTACTGTGCATTCACAAAACCACCAGAATGGATCTAAGCAGCATAAAAATTAAGGCTTGCTTTGTTACCTATGATTTACACATATACATACTTACTATATATACTTGTACATGTACACACACACACACACACAGGATTCTCTCAGGACCATTAAAAGGGTGAGACCATACCAAATTTTCCTTTTAATGAACATTTGATACCTAGTTCCTAAAACATATCCTACCAGACAATAGAGACTATAAGAGAAGATCTTAAACAAGATTTATTATGTCGGATACAGTCTTATTTCAAGAGAAAATAAGGTTCTGAGGTTGAATCTATCTGCCCAGGTAGGTGTGGCTTCTTTGAGCTGATTTGGAAAATAAGCTAATACAGAAAAGCTGTGGTCGATCATCACCACCTGTGTTCACCCAACTGCCTCCCTTACAAGCTACTCACCCTCACTGGGGGGCTCCAGGCTTGCACTCGAGGCTGCTGTCCACACTGGGAGCTCTGCAGATCTTTTGAGCCACAGTTAACCACAGTGCTGCCCTGTGCCCTTAATGCGTTTGTGCAGGTGGTCCCACCGCCCCCACCAGGGCCGGGTTTCCAAGGCCTCTGCTTGATACCATCCAGAAGTCTGACCAGTAGGATGTTACTGGGGAGCTCGTCAACCCCAGAGCCAACAAGAGTCCTGCATTCAGGACATCTGAGTTCATTCCGGGAACCCACAATCCCCAGCAAACATCGTTTGCAAAACGTATGCTGGCAAGGTAGGACCTTTGCAGAAGCATCCAAACGTTCTAGACACACGGGGCACTCCAGAAGGTCCAGCAAGGCAGACTCATCCATCTTGAGAGACTTTAGTGAGAAAACGGCTTCAAAACGTTCATAGTTGTGCGCAGCCCTTAAAGTGATTCATGTAACATCCATTTCAGACTTTGCTCTGGAGTTATGGGGAGAGAGGGGAGGAAAGAGAAAAATGACTGTTGTTATCTGGGGGAAAAGTTCACAGTGGAGCCAAGAACCAAAAAGTACACAAAAGTGCTTCCTCTGCATAGTCCAGCTTGGCTTTGGAATGTGGTTTCTGAGCTCCAAAGTCAACAATTAAAAACAAAACAGGCTTCTTAAACGAGTCCCCATTAATCCCTGAAGATATCTAGAACCTCACTGGGCAGAAATAACTAGCAAGCAATAAACAGGGTTTACGAAAAAGCAATAAAGGACTGATATTGGCTGCCTAATGAAATCCTCAACTTACTGGAGAACCTAAGCAAAATCGACTGAAAGTTCCCTCTATCTAAAACAATACTTTTAAATGCAACGACCTTCCCAAATTTTAAGCCACCGTTATCATTTAAGAAGCCTTGCCTTGGGTGATCCTTGTGGTAAATGATCTCAATATTAAATACATATGTTTCTTCCCTGTCTGAGAACAGAACACCTTAATCTTATCCAACGACACCCCCCTCCGCCGCCGCCGATATAAAATAACAGAGCTGATGCCCGGCAATTCTAAAAGATAACCAAGACCTGCTTGAAAATAGCTTTAAAAAAAAATCACTCTTTCCAGCATGGCTGACAAACTCTGAAACAGATTTCTGAACGGCTTGTCCTAATCCCATTCAGAAAAATCTAGCAAAATAATCACCAAGAATTCGACAATGGAATGAATGCTAGGCTGAAAACTCGGGGTACAATTTGAAAAACCGGGCCCTTTAGGAGGTGGGAGAAAAGAGTATTTGAAGCCAGTTGGTGTGTCGCTATCCCCACCACCACCACCCCAATCAATGTTTAAATGTGGGTGCCTAGGAGGAGGGTGTGTGAAAGGATCTGGAGGCTATACTAACAGCTGTTCCTGGCTAGTCGGTTCTGGAGAGAGGCAGGGTGCGCCCCTCTTCCCACGGTGGGGCACAGGTAGTTCCCAACCCCGTAGCGTGGTGCTAGCCACAGACACACCCCAGAGCCAGGTGACGCCAACCGGGGACAGAGCTGAACCTAGCAGCTGAGGCTGAGGCCGGGTAGCTCCAAGGAACAGGGGATCTCACCCAATTGCCTCCTCTCAAGCCTCCCTTTAGGTCAAACCCAGGACCAAAAAATTACCCAACACCGATCGGTGGAAGTTTTCAAGGACTTAAAGAAAAATAAAGATGCAGCCTTAAGTTGGTGAAAGTCAGCGCCACGGAGTGCGGCGGGAAGCAGACTAGCGACCCCGCGGGGATGTGCTCAGCGACAGTCCCCAGAGACTGCCACCCCGGAGGCAGGAAGGACCGGGCTGCGTCCCGGGAGAGTGCGGCCCCGAGGCCGGGCAGCTTCGGAAGAGGCGAAGAGAAGCCGCGGGACTCGTTCCGGGTAGGTCCCGGAGACCCAAAGGGGAAGCGCGGGGACCGACCCGAGCGCACCACCGGGATGCGGCGACCACCGGCCACCACCCCGCGCCCAATGTCCCCTACTCGCTGCGCGCCCTACCTCGCGCCTCCGCTGCTCGCCTTTGTTCGCGGCCCCGCAGCGCTGGCAGATGCGGCCCCGCCGAGCCCGCTGCCCGTGTGGCTCGGCCGCCGCGGTGGCACCGGGAGCCTCCTCTCGGCCGCCCCCCTTGCGCGCGCTCGCACAGCACGCCGCCGCCGCCACCGCCTCCCACCCGCCCAGCGAGGAGGGCGGGGGAACGAGACTCCGCCAAGGAGGAGGAGGAGGAGGAGGCAGAGGCCGCGCGCAGCGGGCGCCCGGGGACTGGAGGGACGCACCACAGCGCCGCCCGCCGCTCGGGGACCCGCGCGGGAGCCTCGGGGACGCAGCAACGGGGTGGGAGGCTCGGGGACCCGCGCCTTCGCCCCGATTACGCGCGCCCGGAGCGAATGGAGCTACCCGGGAGGAGGGCGGTGGGAGTGGCGCCGAGGGACCAGGAAGAGGCTAGGGCAAGGGCGCCCTGCCGGCCTCGGGCTCCGCCTGGCCGGTGCCTGGAGACTGACTCTTCACAGTGGCCAGGGAAGGGAGTGGCTCTGGCGAGAACCGATCGCTCTTTGCTGAGCGTTCACACTCCCTGGGTGGATGCAGAGAGAGAAAAGTGAGACCCCCTTAGTTTTGAGGTCCGGGCTACTTACCACCCTATGTATCCCGGGGCTCGCCTTCTCCACCCAGCGATCGGCCCCCACATCTGCAGCAGCCAAGGGAGACAAATCCAAGCAAGTCTGGAGATTGCCGATCCCAAAATTCAAAATGAGAAAGGAAAAAAAAAAAAAACTAGAAAAACTGGTGGAAGATTAAAGCCAATCTTGGGAAGGTTCTTCCTTCCTACCTACCTAAAACGGGGTGAATTCAAAGTCTGACCCAGGTGGGCCGGCGCCTTGAAGCTGGCTAGGGGGTACCTCTTTTATCTGCGCCTTGAAGGCAGCCATCAGCATCATCTCTGTAATCTGTTTCTGTTGCCCCGGGCACACACCTGTATACTCTGAAGTGTGGGCTTGCAAAAAGGGGTGTCCAAGGATGTGTGTGTGTGTGTGTGTGTGTGTGTGTGTGTGTGTGTGTGTAGGCTTGTACTTATTTCAGAGACAAGTTAAATGTTGTCAAGAAGTATGATTTTATACTTACTGTCATTTTACCAAAAGTTACTTCAAGAGAGAGATTATGTATGAAATTCCTGCCAGACCACCAACCAAGCTGACAATTTGAAAAGGAATCTCAGGTTATCAGTTCGTCTCCAACTAGAGCCACAGCTAAATCATTCGAGATAAATGAGGATCATTCAAGAAAAAAATTATAGCAAGTAACAATTATCAGTCACTTTAAGCCAGGCACCGTGCTAAACACTTAAACGTATTAATTCCATTCACACAACAGCTCTTTATGTCATCCTTCCCAACTTTGTTCTAAAGAGATTAATATGCTGAGACTTATACTGTATGAATACCAAAAATAATTGCCCACTTCCTTTCCGGTTAGACAGAGAACAAGTATCTGTTCAGATTGAGCTGAAAAAGGCAAGAGGGAAAATGGATGAAGAGAATGAGGAGACAAATAGTTATCTACAAACAACATTCTGAAAGTGACCGGCCCAGTTAACACTGCGTCAGAAACTGGAAATGAAGGCTAGGCAGACTAGAAAGTCAGAGTCAGAAAACAGACCCATTTGGGGTTATTAAGACTGAAGATCGCCGGGCAGTGGTGGCGCACGCCTTTAATCCCAGCACTTGGGAGGCAGAGGCAGGTGGATTTCTGAGTTCGAGGCCAGCCTGGTCTACAGAGTGAGTTCCAGGACAGCCAAGGCTGCACAGAAAAACTCTGTCTCGAAAAACCAAAAAAAAAAAAAAAAAAAAAAAAAAAAAAAA